TACAATATAAATCATCTATAATGTAAATATATATATATATAAATTTTTCGACCAATTCAATTATTGAAAAATATACTTTCGAGATAAAACTCGATCCTCGATGCCTTCTAATCATTTTAATCATCTCAATTAATTTGTTTTGTTTCGTTTATTTATTTTTATTTGTTTGTTTGTTTGTTTGTTTGTTTGTTTGTTTGTTTGTTTGTTTGTTTGTTTGTTTGTTTCATTTTGCTTTTCTTTTCTTTTCTTTTCTTTTTTTTTTCTTTTTTAAATCTCGTTACTCCATTTGTATATATTCAAAGCTAATTGACAAAATCTTCGAACAGGTACTGACATATCTATATATACAAGGTGGACCAAAAATTTTCTAAATGTTTTTAAAAATCAATTACACCCTTTTTCGAAACTTTTTAGGCTAAATTTTTCCTTTATTTGTTTTATTTAAATCGTAAAGTCTTTAACAAGCCTAATCACAATCTTAGAGTAGATTACTCGAAAAGGAGTAATCAATTTTTAATATCATCACGGCAAAATTTTGGCCCACCATGTATATATATATATATACAACCGGACATGACATGACAAGTTTTAAAAGCAAAATCTTCATTTAACGCATACGTTCGCACGTGTTTCGATAGTAAAAGAAAAAAAAAAAAAAAAAAAAAAAAAGAAAATTGAAATATGTACTATTATTTCATAATAGTATGTTAACCCTTCTATAACGCCATGTAACATTGAAATCACATATATATATATATATATATATATATATATATATATAAATAGTTTTAATAAATTTTATTTCATTTTAATTCCCTTGAAATTAATTGTTAGTTCGTATTACGAGGTTTTCGTTCTTATGGATTTTTTCTTTTCTTTTCTTTTTCTTTTTTCTTTTTTTTTTTTTTTTTTTTAAGTACAAGTTACACTTAATATGATTATACAGAATGAGATCAAAAGTTATCTTGATGATTTAAAAAAAAAAGAAAAAAAAAATCAATTGCTCCCTTTTCTTGAGGCCTCTGTTTCTTCTGCTTGCAATTAGGCTTTTACAAGTTAATCATGTAGCTTTGGAGTTTGATGAAAGAGAGAGAGAGAGAGAGAGAAAAAGAGAGAAAAAAGTAATTAGCCTTAAGAGTCTCGATGAAAGAGTGTAATTAATTTTTTAAATCACTTAAGAACATTTCATTCCTCGCCCTGTACTAGTACAAGTGATAACAGAACTTTTTATATTTTATATATAATGTTTGCGTAGAGACCAGCAAAAAAAAAAGAAAAAAAAAAAAATTAAAAAATCCGATCATAGAGGGTTAACGACGTACGTATGTACGAAATTTTTTTTTTCCTTTATTCCTTTTATGATGACCCTGAGTTATTAAAAGATATATATATATATATATATATATATATATATATATATATATTTTTTTTTTAGACCGACCAAAAGAACCTATTTTTCGTTCGCAATTAAAAAGAAAAAAGAAAAAAAAAAAAAGAAAGAAAGAAAAATTAATAAATAAATAGAAAAAAAAGTAGTGCGTACCAAAAGTGGTGCCCGCCCGCGTCACATTTAAAAATTTTTTTCTTCCTTCTTGATTTTTTGCAGTAATTATTTTTTTATCATCATCATTTCACCATCATTATTTCATTATCATCGTCATCATCATCATCATCATTTCATCGTCATCATCAACATTATTATTATTATTACATTATTAATATTGTTATTATTATTATTATTATTATTATTATTATTATTATTATTATTATTATTATTATTGTTATTATTATTTATTAATAATAATATTATTATTATTATTATCATTATTATTCATTACATTCCCTTTTCATTTTTCCTTTCTTTTTCTTCTTTTTCTTCTTTTTCTTCTTTTTCTTCTTTTTTTTTCTTTTTCTTTTTTTTTTTTTTTTTTTTTTTTGAGAAACACTGATCCACGAACGCAATAATACTAGCGATCATTCTCGATTATCGAAGATGTTAAAATTTGATTAATTTTACAACATCGATTTATAACATAACATATCTCAAGATTTTGATAGATATGTTTTACATTTTCCAAATTTATCGTTGACAATATATTATATTCATATTTCCAACTCGTTTAACACGAATTTACATTTGTTTATTTTTTTCTTTCGTTCATTCGTTTTAGAAAATATAATTTTGATAATTTTGTCCGATAATGTTCATAATCAATTTTCATATTGTTTGCAAACGTACGAACGGTGTGGAGTAACGGTAAATAAGAATTTGCGAATATCATTCGAGTAATCGACGTTAGAGCTAGCAGTAAAATTTTCTAAATGATTAATTAACAAATTTAAAAGAGAGAGAGAGAGAGAGAGAGAGAGAGAAAGAGAGAGAGAGAAAAAAGAGAAAGAAAACAAAAGAGAAAAAGAGAAACTCATATAATAAACCGAATTTCGACTCTTCATATAAATATATTTATATATACGTGTATTATATATAATATATATAATATATAATTATATTATATATATATATATGTAATTATAATAATAATCTCGTATGGTAATTTGAAAACAATAAAATTAATTTCTCAATGAGTATACATATATATAAATTAAAGTCGATAAACGGTTATATTATGATTCATGTTGTTTTTGTGTTTTAATTTTAATGTTCTTTTTTTCTTCTTTTTTGTCTTTTCATTACTCTCAAACTTACTGCTAGATCAAACGAGAGATCATTCATTCTGTAAGAACCGAAGATACGGGACACGAAATTAAAACCTTATGTATATATATAACATATGTATATATATAACTCAAACTCAAACAGGTATGATAAAAAGGCAATTGACGATGACGATCTATAAAAAAAAAAAAAAAGAAAAAAGATAATAAACAAAACAAAAAAAAATTTGTAATTAAAAAAGAAATACGTACAATTTAAAAAAAAAAATGCATCATCCTCAAATACCATTATTCTCGTGTGACCGTATTTCGGCTATTTATATATTCATATATATACATATACATATATATATATATATATATATATATATATATATATATATACTAATATCATTAAGCTTAGCAAATATCGTTCGAAGTTTACCTAAAATCCACGTGTGACAACAGATAACCAAGTATTTCCTTCATTCGTTTAATATCTTTTCCTTTTCTTTTCTTATCTTTTCTTTTCTTTTCTTTTCTTTTCTATTCTTTTCTTTCTTTCTTTCTTTCTTTCTTTCTCTCTTTCTTCCTTAATTACTTTCATTGTTATGGCGGTTTAACTCTTCACACCCCGAAGTCTAATATGGAAGGACGAAACTAGTCGATTTAATGCGATTTAACCAACGACTATTCTTTTTTCTTTTCCCAAGAGCAACCATCAAAGGGTTTAGACTGTTTTAGGCAAAGAGAAAAAGAGAAAGGGCATCGTTCATAAATGTATGTATATACATATATATATATATATATATATATGCGTAGGAAACATGATTCCATTAAATAAGATATTACAAATATATGAAACATACGACCAAAAAGGAAGAGAGAGAAAGAGAGAGAAAGAGAGAGAGAGAGAGAGAGAGAAAAATATATATATATATAGTTTATGTATAATACATACTATGTACTACGCTGTACTATCCTATTCTATACTGTACTATAGCGTACAATATTCTATGGAGCATTCTATATCGTATAATATTACTATACTACAGTATAGTATAGTATAGTATATATAGTATATAGTATATGTATAAAGTATACTATATAATTATTGTAAACTATAGTACAGTATAGTATAACATAGTATATAGTGTATATATAGTATATATATATGTGTACGTGTGTGTGTGTTTGTTTGTATAATATTCTCTCTGTGTTTATTTCGTAATAAAAATAATACTATATCGTGGGAATCGCAATGGCAATATTAATAAAAGACTTCGTGGAAGAGATTCGCCGCCATTTCGAGGTTTCGCTTAAACTAAATTCTAATAATAACATTGCTAACGCGTCTTTCTCTCTACGAAAAAGATTAATTATAAAAAAAAAAAAAAAAAAAAAAAGAAAAAAAAATAGAAAAAGTCGTTCTAAACGATTGAGGAAGAAAGATTTCAATCGACTTACAAGAACTGCTTGAAGGAAGAAGAATCAGAAGAATCAGAAGAATCAGAAGAATCAGAAGAATCAGAAGAAGAAGAAGAAAAATAGTTAGAAGAGTTAGAAGTAGTAGAAGAAGAAGAAGAAGAGAAGAGGAGAAGGAGGGGAATAGGGAGGAAGGAGGGTATAACTCAAAATGAAAAGAAAAAAGAAATGAAAAGAAAAAGGAGAGAAAAAACAAAGAGAAAAACGGAAAGTATTGCTAATTTAAATTGAAAAGTATTGATTTTGATTTTCTCTTTTTTTTTCTTTTTCTTTTTCTTTTTCTTTTTCTTCTACGCAAAATAATGATTTTCGCATTGTCTACGGACCAACGCAAGCCATACGAATTTCCCCATGAGAATGAAACGACTCGTCACATATATTTTTACATTAATGAAGAAGAAAAGAAAAAAAAATATACAAAGAAAAGAAAAAAAAAAGTATAAAGAATAGAAAAAAGAAAACAAAAATAAAAGAATCGAATGAAGAGAACGCCACGGACGAAATAAAATTGATACGATCGAGATGGGATCAGAGTAATATATCATGACGATTTAAAGATTATAACTGGCATCTTCTAAAAGAAAAATTGACGTCATCAGAGATCAACAATAATGATATTTTTGTGCGGATTAATCGCAGGATTTCTTTTGGACTTCCATCTTTTTTTCTGTTTTTTTTTCTTTTTTCTTTTTTTTTCCTTTTCTTTCAATTATTACCATTATCATAACCATTATTATCGTTATCGTTATCATTATTATTACTATTATTATTGTTATTATTATTATTATTATTATTATTATTATTATTATTATTATTATTATTATTATTATTATTATTATTATTCTTATTATTATTTTTATTACTATTAATAATATTAATATTATTTTTTCTGAGGATAGTTAATATTGAGAGATAAGATGGATGTAAAAGAAAAAAAAAGAAAAAAGAGAAAAAAGGGAAAAGAAAAAAAGTGAAAAAAAATAAAGGAAATATATAGCCGCCCCCCATCGCAGTGGACTACATAACCGTAGTAGGTACTTTTCATAGCGTATGTATGTACGTATGCATGTATGTATTTATGTATTTATGTATGTATACGTATTTATCTATGTATGCAAACATATGAATGATCGGTGATGTTTATTTATTAGCACCTGCATAATAACGTATCTGTGTAAATCTATATATATATATATATATATATATATATATATATATATATATATATATATGTATGTATATGTATATATATAGATCTATATATAATATATGCCCGTCTATGAATATATATATATAATATAATATAATATAATATATATATATATGTATATATATATATATACTTTGCGAGTATGCATCCCGTGTTCGTCTGCGCGCGCGAAGGTCCTTCTTAACTCGATAAAAGACACTATTATAATGTTATATATATGTACATTATTAACATGCGTATAATTGAGGCTATTCTTGGAAAGAAAAGAGAAAGAAGAAAGAAAGAGAGAGAGAGAGAGAGAGAGAGAGAGAGAAGGGGGTGGGAGGGGAGACAGACAGACAAAGAGACAAATAGAGAAAGATAGATAGATAGATAGATAGTAGATAGATAGATAGATAGACAGATAGATAGAGATAGAGATAGTAACTCTTTTTTAGGACAAGCTCGATTAAATCATAACGATGCAATATATAATAAAATTTCTAATCCCTTTGACGTAATCCTGATCTAATTTGGATGATATAGAAAGATAGATATAGAAAGAGAGAGAGAGAGAGAGATAGAGAGAAAGAGAGAGAGAGAGAGAGAGAGAGAGAGAAAGAGAGAGGAGAGAGAGAGAGAGAGAGAGAGGCATAATAATATAACAATAATTATTATTAATTTTATCGTGGTTAGACGCTAGCGAACGATTTGCAAGGGTCTCTCTTTGGTAAGTCAAATTCTCCATTCAGTTTTAGGGAAGCGGTACTACGACCTGTACGTAAGTCACAGGGAAGTATCCTTTGCGTCCATTTAAGCTACCTTCGTACCAATTTTCGTCGATCTTTTGAATCAGGATGATCGTATCGTTTTCCTAAAAAACAAAATATACATATACATATATATATATATATATATATATATATATTTATATATATATATATTTTTTCATTTATTTATTTATTTATTTAATGATTATTTCATGTTCAATATTATTGAGAATGTATACCTAATAAGTTCTTACGTGGATCACTTTTGAAAAAATTTGCGGCTCCTTTTTTGTTTCGTTTTTTAATATATGAATTTAATTCTTATGGTAAGAAAGAAGAAAAGAAAGAAGAAAGAGAAAAAAAGGGAAGCCCAAATTTTTCACAAATAATCCACGTACGGGTTAGAATGTGAAACATATATTGACCTTGAATCCAAGTTCTCCCTCATTCTCAGGTTCAAAATCATAAAGAGCCGTGCAACATGGTTGTCTCGTCATTGGCGTCCTTGCCGGTGATTTACTCGGTGATGGCAATGGCGAAGCTGAAAGAAATATAATAAATTAATAATGATAAACGTGGCATTATATTATTTATATATATATATATAAAAACATGATATATAATATATTCTTTCTATTTTCTATTTTTAACCTCGATTATTAACCCTCCGTAACGTCATGTAACTTTGAAATCACACATTCATATAGTATAGTATTTTAATATAATAAAAAAAAGTTAGTAATATAATTATAATGTATACCATAATATACATAGTATAATACTATACTATAATCAGTATATCAATATATATATATATATATATATATATATATATATTTTGTCAGAAACAAATAGAAAAAAAAAAAAAAGAAAAAAGGAAAGAAATATTGTGTCAAAGAGGGTCAATATTGTGTCAATATAAATGACTGCTATATATTATCATAATTGTCTTGATATAGTAAATCATGGTATTGGATAAATGTGAAAAATCTAAAGAAATAAGTTTGACTTATATATATACATAAATAAGAAACATTAAGTGATAGATCACGTATACAAGGTGCGAGAAAATGAGAAGACAGTGGAAAGATTAGGGTAATAGGTACTACATAAATCTTTGAGATAATTGACTTGATTAGAACTCAACTAAAAGATTATATATATATATATATACTACGATGATGAATATGACGTGAGGACGTATAACGATATCACAGTTAATGATTAACATGCTGTTCGCAGATTAAAAAAATAAAAAAACAAAAAGAAAAAAGATATTTATATTATATACGCGTTACTTTCCCACATTAATTAATGATTGATTAATTAATAAATAAATGAATAACGATGATCGATGCTTGAAATATAATTTAATTAACTATGACAATTAAAAGTTCTAAA